CCCGTCTTCCCTGTGAGGCGATCTCATAATCCAAATCAGAAATGAATAATTAATTATCAGATTATGTTAAAGCTGCATAACGTTAAAAAGTTTGTTCTTATAAAATATATAACGCACGAAAAAAGCATAAAAGTTATAAAAATTACGAAATCGGGAGGAGTAAAGAATTTCCTTTTTCTAACTATAAATGCATAGTTAAAGTTTGTTCTTTCGATTTACCAGTCTGACAACATAATAACCCAAAAATCTTAAGTCTTACAGTTAGAAAAAAAAACCTTATAGTTACAAATCTGTGTTGGTAGATTTGTGAATAAAAAATAAAACTGGGTGGATCTGGATTTTCGCAAATTCTGCTTCAAAATTAACTATATGAGTGAGAAACCATAAATGACTACTTGGGGCATCCGTTCCATACACTCCAAACATTGCAAACACACTGTATGCGAACATGGAAGAAGTTTGGCTTTCTTTCGTTCCTGAAAAAAAACTTGCTTGCTTGAGCTGAAAAAATAAAGAATAAGTGTTGGATATTGAAAAATATGTGCTGGATTTAAGAGGATATGTTTTGGATTCTGAAAGATATCGGTGTTCGATCCCAGGGGATATAAACCAAGAATCTGTAGACAGATTTTTGAGGACTTAAGTCTAAGATTTTGAACAAATTTTAAACTCTGGAGGATAGAAAAGTTCAGGACAAAAAATTAAAAGTCACCTTTTTCCGTAAAAGGGATTAAATTTGGGTTTTAATAATGAATTTTTTATTTTGCATTTTAAAAATAACTTTTCTATCGCAAGCAGAACAAAAATTCAGAAATAAAATAAATTTAGTAACAGACTCAATAATTTCGAAAAATACCGTATAGTAAATCAAATTTTTAAAAGAAAATAAAATTCTAGGTGCCTTTAGTTGTCCGAGAAAATCCTGCATTTTTAGGACGAGCAAATTTCCCAGAACTGGAAAAACCAAATCAAAACTTCAGATCGAGAAAGGATAAAAACGCAAGCTGAAAAAAAGTCCTGAAAAAGATCGAAACCAAAAAAATTTGAACAAAATCTGAAAGCACCTGGAACAAAATTTTTAGTGATCCCAATGGGCATAAACATTTTTGATAACTTTTTTAATCCTTTCGAAAATTTATTAATTCAGTAACTCGAACATTTTTTATTTTTTCTTTGAAATTCTGCGAAAATTTCGATAATTTTAGTTTTTGAAGTGAGAAGAAAAATTCCTCCAATAAAATTTTGTAACTCGAACATTTTTTTCTTCAAAATTTTGCAAAAAAATTTCGATGATTTTATTTTTTGGGGTGAGGAAAAATTTTTTACCAACTCCAACTTTTTTTATTTTTCAAAACTTCGCAAAAATTTTTTTATTTTTTGAGGTGAGAAAAAACTTTTTTAACAGAAAATTTTCAAAAATTCTACCTGATCATAAGCGCATAAACAAGTGGAACAGGTAAGAAAAGCATCCGAGAAATCCTCCAGATTGATATTGACAATTTCGATGAGGGTCGTGTCCATGCGGGCACCGGCTAGTCGCATTTGCTAGTCGCACTACGATGCCCTTCGATTACGACAAGTTCTTGTGGGCGCCTGGAGCAGCAAGGTTGAGCCCACTCCGCCTTCTTTTATTGACCAGGCTCTTCTTCTTGTTCTGACGATGATGGTGCTGGCCGAACGATAACGTGCATGACACACACTGATAGCTGCTACTTCATGCGTCACAACAGCAATGCCCATTCATCCTGGCAATTATTTGCGCTTGTCATTATTATCAATGACATTGTCATCATCATTATTATCATCGTCATCATTATTGTCATCATCATTATTATCACCGTCGCCATCATCATTATTACTGATAACGACAAAAATGAGCATTCACAATCTCTAGTCAGTAAAACTGCTAAAACTGAAGCTTTGATTCACTCGAACAACACCATTAAAGTCATCGTAGCCGTTGCCATCACTGATAACGATAAAAATGAGCAATCACAATTTTAGTCATCAAAAATGCTAAAACTGAAGCTTTGATTCACTTGGACATCATCGTCATCATCAACGTCATCGTAGTTGTTACCACTATCATTATCACTGATAACGACAAAAATGAGCAATCACAATTTTTAGCCATTAAAATTGCTAAAACTGAAGCTTTGATTCACTTGGACACCATCGTCATCATCAACATCATCGTAGCTGTTACCACCATTATTATCACTGACAACGATGAAAATGAGCAGTCATAATTTTCACCCATTAAAACTGTTAAAACTGAAGCTTTGATTTACCGGGGAAGAGGCAAAATCATGATTTACGAAACAGTGTAAAATGGTACAGTTAATATAGTTAATATTTATAGTTAATGTACACTGAGTTTATGCAGAATTACAAACATTATTTAAGGAACGGATTTCAGCTAACTGTGACTGAAACTTATATTGTGTAAGAAAAATTGGAGACATCAAAAATAGCAAAATTAGGCAAATGTCCAGAAAAAAAAACTTGGTAAGGCCAGCACAGTTGAATTTGAAATCTTTAGCTCATACATGCACAGAAAATATCCCTGTAAAGTTTCAGCTTTCTATCTTGCCTGGTTTGCGAAATCGTTTCCCGTCAAAAAAATTTGAGCGTTTTTTTCGAGGGGTCTGTGTACGAGATCTAGATGCATATGAGCGAAGATTTAAAAAAAAAGAGGGTGACATATAGGGTGGGAATATAAGGCCAAAATTTCAGCCTTTCAGCTTTCCTAGTTGCTGAGATGAAAGTGGGTGACAAAGTTCACTCGCTTCCGAACATACACACACACACACACACACACACACACATACACACACGGACGACCTCTCTCGACAATATGTATTTTTGCTCGCTATAGCAGCACTTATAGCGCTGCACAGCAAAACGCATGAAAAAAAGACAAAAAAGCGTAATTCGATCGAATTTCTAAATTCGGAAAAAGCATCCACCAGCACGCCTATTTCCTCTCTTCACCAGTCATCATTTATCCTGCGTAACATGAAAATTAGCCCGAATAACTCCTCGATAAAGTCCCCGGATCTAGACCCATTGTAGAATACTGTTAAAGAAATGACTCCCATCAATGCTGAAAGTTGTGTTCAATTCAGAACCAAGGCCACTCGGAAGAAAAAGAGAAGAGGGCGTCTACCAATCTCGTCTTTTTTTTTCAAAGGCAATTTCTGGAAAAAAAAAAGATGGGAACAAGGGAAAAGGCCAGCTGTATGCCCTTCATAATAAATTGAAAAAAAAAAGAAACATTGGAGATGCAGCAGCGAGGAAGATTTTTCCACAAATAAAATAAATGGGGTTTTATTTTTTAGGAAAATTCACATAAATTAGCATAAATATATGATTTTAGAGCATTTTACATTATATCAGTAGCAAAAAATCTTCCACTAATCCTTCTGCA